ACAAACTATATAATCATGTATCACAGAAGGTTGAGATTAGTAGAGATGTGGTTATTGATGAAGGTCAAAGTTGGAACTAGGAAAGTGATTCTCTGTAAAGAGAGCAATGTATAAGAGTGGATTTTGATTCAGATATGGAATTTGAAATACCAACATGGAGTGATAATGATGATGGATGTGAGGCATGAATCAAATATCATCACTGGGAGACCAACAAGAAATAGAACCCAGTCTGTCAGATTGAATGGTTATTAGATGGTAAGAGATGATGAAGTTGACAATGAAGGAGATCTGGTGCATTTTGCTCTATTTGTTGACTCTGAGCTCTTGACTGCAACTGAAGCTTTGAATGATGACAAATGGAAGAGAGCTATGGAAGAAGAACTCCATTCTATACATAAGAATGATAGTTGGGAACTGTGTGATCTACCTATCAATAAGAAACCTACAGCTGTGAAGTGGGTATACAAAACAAAACTGAAGCCAGATGGAACTGTCTCTAAGCATAAAGCCAGATTGGTGGCAAAAGGTTTTTTTTTTTTGCAGAAGAAGGGGATTGATTATGAGGAAGATTTTGCTCCAGTAGCAAGGCTAGAAACAATCAGAACTGTTGTAGCCTATGCATGCCAGAACAATTGGTCACTACAACAAATGGATGTGAAGTGTGCCTTTTTGAATGGACCCTTGGAAAGGTGTTCAAACTAAAGAAGGCACTATATGGTTTAAAGCAGGGACCGAGAGCCTGAAACAAATGGATTGACAAATTTCTGGTGCAACAAGGATTTTCAAAGTGCTGAGTCAAATATGGTGTTTACTCAAAGAAGTTTGAGGAAGATATTCTCATCATTTGTCTCTATGTGGATGATCTCCTAATCACCAGTAGTAACAGCACAATCATATCAAGTTTTAACGAAGAAATGAAGATTGAATTTGCTGACAATGGGGTTATAGTTATATGTAAAAATAGCTAAAATGATCATCTACAGTAACTTTAATCAATACAGCCAGAAAAGTAACTCCGACCTTGCTTTTTCTGCTTATTACACAATTCAGCGCGTGAAAGCAAAAGTTACGTGTTTGGTGAAAAAGTTGGCTGATAAGCCTAATAAGTCGAAAAAAAGTGTCACCAAATGACACCTTAATTGTTGTTATTATGATTGAATAAGTCATATTGTAGATTTGTAGGCATATAACATTACGGGCAGACTCATGTGTATGTTTAGGGGGTCATGGCCCAACCTAAAATTAACATTTTTATTATTATTGCGCCCCACTCACATCCTACATCGGCTCGTGTATAACATCATTCGTTAATCTTGTTTGTAAACATGGTACCTGGTTCATACTTGATCTGCCCCTATAGTTATTCCATATTTCCTTTTTGATTGTTCCACTATTATTGTCACATACTGTACTATATTTGTTAATATTTATATGAATCTAATTCATTTCTATTTTATTTCTATTTTATCAACCATATAATTCTATTTTTTAAAAAACTATACAACTCTCTTTGTCCCAATATTAGAGGGACGGACGTACAAATTTACATAATCAATATATATATATAAAAGAGGAACTTTTTAAGAGCATACAATGCGCCACATAAGCTTGCCATGTCATTATATATAACAACTAGTTTTCAAGCCCGTGCGATGCACGGGCAGTACGTAACTTAGCTAATTTTAAATGTCATTTTTTCCGTAATTATATATAATGTGATGTAAGAGCAAAATAAACTCAAGGGCTGTTTAATTTCGACTAAATAGACTTAATCACATTTGACTTAATAATTCAATCATTAAGTAATTTTTACTTATGACTTAATTGGAAGCATGACTTAATCATTCAGTCAAAAAACTAAATTAATCATTAAGCTCTAAAATAGTCGTCCTTCTCATTAAGGCTGACTATTGAGACGTTTTTCTCTAAATTTTTTCAATTTGATTGTAGAATAGACTCATCATATTAATAAATGGAGTTTTTCATTGACACTATACATTAAGAATAATACTAAATTCTTTATTTTACATGATTCAGACTGTTTATTCGGCATACAAAATAAATCGCCTCAAATACAAATATCACTAAATCAGACATCTTAGCCCAGACATACGTGTTAATCTAGACATGACTTAATAGAAAAAAAACTCTCAATTTAATATAGAGCCCGTTTGATAACACTAAAATGGATTGAATCAACTGACTCTACTGAAACTGATTAGGTTCTGACTGAATGGTATGCATAATTACTTTTAAATTTTAATAGTAAGATGTTGCATTTTACTCATAATTTCCTCACATTAAAAATGTCTAAAAGTGTAGTTTTTAAAATTTCAACTATTTTCTCAATTGGACAATTCTAATTTAATAATTAAAAAAAATCAAGCATCTAGGATTCTAGGGGAAGGGATTCCAACTTAGAGATATCCTCCAATTTAAAAATAAGGATGTATATATAATAAGGAACATCCGAACATATATTCCTTAATATCCTTAATCCTGAAATTCGAAATCTAAAATATATTAAAAGTTACCAAATAAGGTGGATTTCTATATCAATGTGTAATAAAAATAGAATGTAATAATAAAATAAAAGGTATAAAAATAATTAAATAATGGTCATATATGATGACATGGCAGGCTTATGTGGCGCGTTGTATGCTCTTAAAAAGTTCCTCCTTTATATATATATATTGATTAATTAATTAATTATTTTTAACTTTTTATTGTTATATTACATGTTGATATGGAAATCCACCTTATTTGGTATGTTAATAAGTCTTCGGATACATAGGTATCTAACTTAGATTAGAACTAAGCTATAAGTTGATTACATACGTAACACAAATATTTAAAATACTTCCTAAAACCATGCAATACAAATAATAAAATCCTATGTTTATTTTAAACAAAAATATTTTTTTTATTTGTACTTTGATTGTTACAAAAAATATATTAAATTTCATAATTTTTTATTATCTTTCATATGACACCAATATTGAATATATAAAAATAAAGATAAAATTAACACTTTAAAAAAAATCTGTATTTTAAAGTGCTATATCTGTTTTATTTGTACTCTGATTGTTACAAAAAATATATAAAATTATAACTTTTTATAATCAATCAGTACACACACACACACAAGAGAAACTTTTTAAGAGCATACAATGTGCTACATAACCTTGTCATGTCATCATATATAACAATTATTTAATTATTTTTAACTTTTTATTGTTATATTACATGTTGATATGGAAATCCATCTTATTTGGTAACGTTAGCAACATCCAAACCTATGTAAAGATGCAAGCTTTATTTTAAATTTTAAATTTCAGCATTTGGAAACATAAAACCTACGTATAGATGTATGTTATACTTTACCAATTTTGATTTAAATATTTATGACAAAGGAAACTTTACATGTTGATGACAGTAGTAAAGGAATCAAATTTTAGTAGGTCTCCAAATTCAGAACTTCTCAACAGTAAAATCACGTTCATGTAGGCTTCTTGATGTTTCTAAAATCAGAATTTATAAACATAAAAATTCCTGACGCAACTGCATGCTATTACACTTTACATATTGATCATCATAGAATTGAACACTTACTATTATAAAAAGGGAGATAATGTTTAGAATTGAACATTATTCAGTTTTATAAATTTTAGTAATTGATCGAGTTTCTCCTTCGTTTGGAGAGTTCCCTTGTTTAGAGTTCATATATCAAGAATGTCATCACAATAAATTTCTACATTATTTTACTGATATATTATCAAAAACTATGTACATTAGTACATATCATACTTTCCCATTAACATGTTTATGATGCCTGATATTATGCATTATACTTGATTGATTAAAATTAAATAAATTGCAGAAATTATTTTCTAATACGTCAACTTGACACATCAAAGTCTGACTGGACAATTAAAGTTCGTGTTACCCGCCTCTATGAAGTCATCCAAACTGAAACACTAAATATACAAAAATAGATCAAAAAAGTATTAGTAATAGTTGATTTTCTATGAAAAGTACAAAATAACTATAAAGCTTATGCGAGAATACAAACGGAGGGATTAGTTAATAAGATACAAAAAAAAATATTATGAATACACACAATGAATCAACAATAACCATTTACCGTGCTCTACATGGATAAAGAATTCCATTCCCTAGAAATGTGCTATGGTACCGTGCTCTACATGGATGGATCAAGCATTTGAATTGAAAATGAATGACGGGATACATTTGGATTCCGTGGCATCTTCAAATTTCTATTTTTTATTAGTTTAGACAACTCGGATTTGTCCAATTTAGAAAAGAGTTTAAATTTAAAAAACTGCACTTTTAAACTCTTTCAAATTTAAATTTAGCTATATTACGTACTGCCCGTGCGATGCACATATTATGAATAATTTCCTGATAATTAAGAGGAGTGACGGTCAAAATTATCAATAAAAACATTGAATGAGTAATCAAAGTGGAGGTGAGAAAAATTCATGGCATACATCAGCATTCACTTATAGGACAGCACTATCAATATACAATCACGAAAAGTACTACTCCCTTCGTCCCAATTTGTTTTGCAAAGTCAACATTTTTTTGTCAACCAATAATAAAAGTCAATCTTCTTTACGGATAATTAACTCAATTTTTAATAATAAAAATTTACATATTCATAAACTACAATAAAATCTCTTCAAAGTTGTAAACACCAAATTAGAATATAATTAAAAATTGACATCCTAATTAAGTGAACAAAACAAAACTGTTTGACCAAGAAAAGTCAATTTTGCAAATCAATTTGGGACAGAAGTAGTATATTCATTATTATTTCCTGAAACTGGGATTGCGTAATCACACGTTACACTTCTCTTCTCGCCAACTCAAAATTGCAACAATTTCCAATACGATTAAATGACCGTTGGAGTATCGCATACTCAAACCCACTACGTATTTTTATACACTACTCCACTCCATACTTCATACGTACATTCAACCTTTCTTCACAAAACAAAAGAGATACAATACGGTTTTGGTTTTAGCTGCATTCAAGGAAGATGTCTACTCCACTTTCCTTTCCTATATATGAACCCACTCTCTTACAAATCAATCAATCTCTTTCCCTGTCTGGTTTTTGTTCCCTTTCCTCTCCTTCTCTATGAGAAAATGGCAAAAGGAATGTCCTTACCCATAATAATAATAATATTAACAACAATAACTTTGTGTAACTTTCAAGTTAAGGGAAGGTTTGAACATGATCACCAAACAAAAGAATTGCAAAATCTACGGGCGTCTCTCATCAAATCGTCAGCCCATTCGGTTTCATCGTCTTCGCCACACCCGCAAGATCATCCTACATTACTCGAAAGGTGGCTTTCTTCTCCATCGGTGAGTCTTAGTTACTCGAAAAACTAACATATAAAGAGGTGTTTGAAACTGATCCTGCTTCTTCTGCTTCTTTTAAAAAGAATAAAATAGGATCAAAATCAGTTTTTCAGAAACAGGTCTCCCACCTCTTCTAAAAAACTGCTTTTTTAGAATGAGCCTAAACAGTTTTAAGGAGCATATCTAAACACCCCGAATGTAGTGTTTTTTGGACAGTATTTGTATGATTTTTAGAGGACATGATGTTATTGTTTTTAGACGGCCACGATTTTCCCACCACGGGTGTACCGAGTGACATCGTACGGCGCCGATCCAACCGGAGAAGAAGACAGTACGGAAGCAATTATGGCTGCGATTACAGATGCTCTGAATGGTCCGAGCGGGGAAGAGAAGGAGGGGTTCTTGTTCGCCGGGATTCGGAATCTCGGCGGTGCCCGGATTGATCTCCAGGGTGGGACCTACGTCGTTTCCCGGTCTTTGAAGTTTCCGGTCACCGGCCGAGGGAATCTCATTGTACGTGACATATACTCCAACTCTGTTTTATGATTTTTGTCAAACTTCTATCATTTGAAAAGTTGATATTTGGAATTGAATAGTCTTGGAATATCTAAATTTTAGTTTCCGAGATTGAATGGTAATACATCAATTTTAAGATTATTTTTTTTGTAATTTGACTGTTAATTATTCCAAAACTATACTCCGTATTATACCATAAGTTTCTGTTTTAATTTTAAGATTATTTTTTTTGTAATTTGACTATTAATTATTCCAAAACAAAACTATACTCCGTATTAATTACTTTCATGAAGCTATTCTTGAATAATTTGATTAAATATTTAACTTTTAAATGTTAACTTAATGTAACTTTCAAAAAATATGTTAACGTATTGTAGAATTTATAAGTACCATCCCTCCTATTAGAGTCCTATTAGAGTTTGATGACTTTATGTGCATGTGTAGCTAAATTGGTTAAGTGGTGAAAAAGATGGAACATTGACTAAATATCGAAACCCGCAATGATCGTGTAGAGGTTACATCCCAATGGTTCATGCATTATGGGCTTGACCTCTTGTGCGTCCGGGTACATAATCTTTCACCATTGTGTTAATTGAGTTATCGTAATTTACAATCTCCTAAATGCTTTGTCGGGTCAGAACATGAGGGCCCCTTAGGGTTGGGTAATCTTCTTTTGGAACACAAAATTGATGACTTTGATCGGCACATGAATCTTAAAATAGGAAATGATGATTGAAATTTGTGCTGAATAAAGAAATTATAACAACCCAGCGATTAGTCAATTTCCTAACATTGAAACTTGCAAATTATGTAAAGGTACTATAATAAGCATAATTTATTGATTCATGTCATTTTCTTAAAATGATTCATGTCATTTTTATTATAGTACTACATACTCCCTCCGTCCCAGGAAGAAGTTCCCGGGTTGACTTTCACACGTATTAAGGAAATAAAGTTACTGAGGGGTAAATTTTACTGTTTGGCACTGTTTCGATACTGTTTGGCACTATTTCGATACTGTTTGGCACTGTTTCGACACTGTTTGGCACTGTTTCGACACTGTTTGACACTGTTTTGCACTGTTTGGCACTTTTTTGATGTAGGATAACTTTCTATTTAGGAACTGCCAATAGAGAACTTTTCCCTGGGACGGAGGGAGTATTATTTAATTGTATGCGAACTTAGAACTAATCAATTTTAATGTTTTGATTGGTCAAGGTGAATAACGTATGATATTTTGAAGTTATCATAGAATTTGTTTTAATGCAAATAAAAAATTAAGGTAGAAACGTAAAGAGTACTCTAAGGTAAATTACCTTTAAATTGATCTAAGTTGACCTTACTTATAGATTGAGACTAGACGATTTTATTAGGTGAATAGTTGTGTAAAGTGTTCAAAAGTCTTCCATGCTATCCGACTGGGTCGTAGGTGGACCGTCCCTCGAAAATGATAGACCAACAACAAAAGTGAAAAGTCTATCCCCCTTTTGCTGTAAATGAATGACTCATAAATTACAGAGCACGGTAATTTATTATGGACGTTAGGATGCATTTATTACCGAGTATTGTTTTTTAACACCTCTAGTTCTCGCTTTCTGGGTTGGCGACTATGGTGAGGCCCGTAAAAGTGCATCTTTTTGCAGATTATGGACAATGAAGAGATCTCTAGTTCATTTCCAAGTAATGAAACTCCAGTGTTTTTCATCAAGTTAGATCATCCAAGATAATTATCCAGACAGGACCTCAAAAAATGAGGTGTCATCCTTTTGCAAATAAGTAACTCAAATACTCTATGAGATGGAGTATGTAGAATGGGTCGGATCGGACCAGTACAAAAAATAAATAAATACTCCCTCCGTCCCGTTGGGATGTTCCGGTGTTCCCGGTTTGACATACACACATATTAAGGAAATAAATTTACCAGGGGGTAAATTTTACTGTTTCGACACTGTTGGCACTGTTTGACACTGGTTGACACTGTTTTGATGTAAGATAACTTTCCATTTAAGGAAATGAGAACTTCTTTTTGGGACATCTAAAAAGGAAAGCGGGAACATCCCAACGGGACGGAGGGAGTAATGTTTTACATGATTTTTTTTACTACTCCCTCCGTCCCGCTAAGATCTTCCTGCTTTCCTTTTTTAGCCGTTCCAAAATGATCTTTTCATTTCCCTAAATGCAAAGTTATTCTACATCAAAACACTGTCAAATAGTGCAAAACAATGCAAAACAATGTCAAACAGTGTTGAAACAGTGTACTCTATAGTAAAGTCAAATTTATTTTCTAAATATGTGTGTAGGTCAAAGTAGGAAGTTCTTATCGGGACGAGCGTAGCAATATTAAGATACTTTTTAAATATGAGCTAGACCGTGGCTTAGATTAAAGAAAAATGCTAAAGGCACCCCAACTTGTACCCCATTTTATACCACCACCCCTATTTTGTGGTCACAATTGAAGCAATACTTTTAAGTGGGGCAACACTTTTAAGTCTGGCCTCATTTGGACCACACAATGTGTGGTGTAAGAATGGGGTACCCCAAAATGGGGTACCTCTAGCTCGGTTGTAGATTAAACCCCCTAGCTCCGCCCGTGGCAGTTGCCATTTACAAAGATGTACCTAACGAATACTAGTATACCATGACTATTTTCATGCTTTGAATATAATTATAGCTAATCAAATTACTGGTGTAATCATTAAAATATAAGAGTCATATTTTTATCATATACATTCATTTTAATTTTTTAGCTATATACCAGTCTTTTGTTTTAAAAAAAATGGATTAGATATGAAATTATTCATGTTTCAAAAAAAAAATTGTCATTTATATGAATCTTTGTAGTACATAAAATCGCCTACTATTGCATTTCTTAATTATCATTTTGTTTATTTAATCCTGATTACACCATACTACGGAGTATTTGTACTATGGAGTATGTACTACATTTACCTGATGTGAATAAGTGAAACCAGACGTGCACTAAATTAGTTCTCCAGTTCTACCATTAATGTTCCAACGACCTTTACCATACGTGCACTAATTCATACTTCAAATATCGTGCCGTATACTACTCGGTATTATTGTACTCCGTAAGACACGATTACACGAAGACTATTTGTTTTGGTAAATGTCTTTGGTCAATACATTTAAATGAAATTTATATTTTTTTGGTTTCATAATTATTTTAACAAATACGGTGTAAGATTTTATGCTATGTTTATTTGGACTGAAATTTCAAGGATGTGGTCGGGAGAAGCATCCTCTAGTCTTATTTTGCCCTGTCTTGATAGTTGACACAAATTGATCACATATGATTAAGGTTTCGTCTAATTTAATTAATTGTTTGATTCAAACACTCTAACTTATTAAAATCACACTCTAACTTATTAAAATCCTGTCTGTTATAAGGGGTTTTTGGTAAACAACGTTTTAGCCGAAAAATGGCATTTGATCACTTTTAACATTTCCAATAAGTGAAAATGTTATTTGGTAAATAGCAGTTCGTCACCAGTCTTTTTGGACGAAAACGCTGAAATAAAAATGCAGCTAATATGAGAGTTTTGGGTTGATGTTTTGAAATTGGTGTTTTATACTAATTATGGCCAAACAGATAAATTGTCAAACATGTTCTAACAACCTGCCAATTTATTCTGATAGTCAAATCTACTGATCGAATCCACTATCTCCTAACCGCTAACCGTTGAATGGCAAACACGTCGTTTGGTTTATGTGCCTACACTGTTTAGTACTTTAGTACTTCGTATGTGTGGTAGTAATTGTTTGATATATGTGCCTTTTATTGCTCCCTATATCTTATAAAACCCGAAAATTCTTTACATGCATACGGAGTATATAATACGGAGTAATAAAGCTATTTAACATGTAATAGAAATTATAATAAGTCAGAAAAAACAACTAAAAAAGAAATGATTAAGTTTTTTTCAGTCTAATGAAACAATTTAACTATTATTCAAGTCTCATATCATCTATTCTTAATTGGCATTATCAGGCCACTCTGATTTGTTAACTTCTGTTCCATTGTTATGATTTATCTTGTTTAAGTCTAATTTAGTTTTATGTTGTACATTGTTTGGTTGATTGAAATATATTGACATAACACTACTACTATGATATATTGATGAAGATATGCTGCTTTTGATGATGCAACAGATACACGGTGGTACATTAAGGTCATCAGAAGTATTCCCGGGGGACGGATATCTCATAGATTTATCGGCCACCACCGTCGATGGCCCGGGGTACAATTTTGAGTTCATAACCTTCAAAGACCTATTGCTGGACTCTAACTTCAGGGGAGGAGGCATTCAAGTGGTCAATTCTCTAAGAATCAACGTTGACAATTGTTACATTACCCATTTCACAACCAATGGCATTTTGGTCAAAAGTGGTCACGAGACCTACATCAGAAATTCCTTCCTCGGCCAGCACATAACCGCCGGCGGTGATCCCGGCGAGCGGAATTTCTCCGGCACGGCGATTAACTTAATGGGGAACGACAATGCCGTCACGGACGTCGTCATTTTCTCCGCCCTCATCGGGGTCATGATCTCCGGCCAAGCAAACCTTCTCTCCGGCGTCCATTGTTACAACAAGGCGACGGGGTTTGGCGGCACCGGAATTTACATAAAACTCCCCGGAAAGACTCAGACGAGAATCGTGAACTGTTACATGGATTACACCGGAATCGTCGCCGAGGATCCCGTCCAGCTCCACATCTCCAACTCGTTCTTCCTCGGCGACGCCTTCGTTTCTTTGAAGTCCGTCGCCGGTACGGTCATCGGAGTCAACATCGTCGACAACATGTTCTCCGGTTCCGGGAAGGGCGTCAGCATTGTCCAGCTGGACGACACGACACCGTTTAAGACCATCGAACAAGTCGTGGTGGACAGAAACAACGTGCGAGGGATGACTCTGAAGTCCACCGTCGCAAGGGGTAGTGCGGAAGGAAACGGAACAATATGGACCGTTGATCTAAACCCGATTCTTCTCTTCCCTGATCTGGCGAAGTTCGTGCAGTACACGTTTAGTTCGAGCGAGTCATTTCCAAAACATGTGTTGAGAAACACGTCGGATAATCGAGTGGTTATTGAGTCTGACATACAAGTCGCGGCCAAAGTCTTTGTCACCGTTGACCAGAGCATACCTGAATAAATGTTGTAAATTTTAATGTAGCCTATATATATTTATAAGTTGGGTGGGTGTGGGATAATATCACAATTTTTATTTCTTTGCAGAGATTAAGCAAAAATTCTTTGCAGTGTTTATCTCCAATCAAGGTAAAATTGTATACTAGAGCAAATGGAAGGATTTTATTTTTGTAAATGCAGTTTCTACGGTATTTTAGAAATGTAGTATGGAGTAGCAATCAGTGTATTAAAATTGAATACTCCGTACGTAGAAGTTTATAAATAAAAAAAATAGACTCAATTTTTATTACATACACCAATCATATATTACTACATCCGTTCCCCTTTAAAGTTTCTATTCGGGAATTGTTACAATTTATTAGAAAATTATTATTGGAATGATTGAGTGTATTCTGGCTCAAAACAATTTAAGCTCGATGTTCCTCTAATTGACTTAAGCCTAAGCTTGGAAACAATATGTTACTTATTCTAAATTTGTGACGGATCATAAGAATGGATGGAACACGTGATTATGTATTTGTGCTATTTGTGCTATCATCAGGGTTCTACTCATGAAGCTCTTTCTCATGTTGCTATGTTCCTCTCGATTTATTTATCAGATTCAAAGCATTACATTCTACCTTAATGATATTGACAACCATCATGAACCCTTAATAGCTTGGCGTTGGCAATCAAGGAACCGTAATCAACAAGCAGAATCGTCCTCAACAGCCGGGAGTGATGATTCGATTAAGGTGGGCTCGTATAGGTGGTGTTCCGTGACTTCCATCTCTAATCAATTGGCCTGTACCGTTTGAATCGGGGCAGCTTTAGTCCACCGTTCTAAATACTACACATTGCTATAAATGATATTGGTGCTACCAATGTCATAGACCACATACATTAGACTCGAACGTGTTTCGTCATCCTCTCAAATCATACGATGTCATCCAAATCCAAGTCATAGAACAATCAGATTCATTGATGTGACTATTATCAGCTCCGATTGTTGTTATTGGTGTTGGCGATGTCATATACCTCATGTTATTTTCTCCTCCTCCTCCTCATCCGAAGATGTACAAAGTTGTTATTATCAGAAGTTGGTATTATCAAAAGTTATTTCTAAAGTATGTATTATTCTTGATTCATGAAAGATAATTGATACTCCCTCTGTCCCAATATAAAAGACACACTTTCCTTTTCGGTCCGTCCCAATATAAAAGGCACATTTCCCTTTTTGGCAAACAAAACAGTGTCAAACTGTGCCAAACAGTGCCAAACAGTGTCCAAACAGTGCCAAACAGTGTTCAAACAGTGTTCACCCTTAAAAAGTCCCCAAACGCATATGTGCCTTTTATATTGGGAAGGAGGGAGTATTATTTAAACTTATTTTCTATACAAAAAAATGTACAAGAACTATCTATGTAACTTGTAGAAATGATGTGTACGTACATAGTCTGACTTTTTTTTTATGGACATAGTCTGACTTGTAAATAGAGAAACGTTCTTGTAAGACCATTTGGAGTGGTGAGGTATTAGGAGTCCAAAATGCTAAATGTAGAATTTTTGGACTCCTAGTTGTGTGTAGTGGTAGTTTAAAAGGGGTATTAAAATGGAAGAGGGGATGAAAGGTATTAAATATAGAGGGTTGGTTAAGAGGGGAGTGGGAAAAAGCAGGTTGCTTTTCTGGTGCAGATGATGTCATGTTAATGTCATCCCTGCATCATAATATCCCAAAAAAATTTAAACTTGTATAACTTTTTTATTTTTTATCCAAATTTTTCAAAAAGTATATCAAAATTCATAAATTTTTATGATATTTCATATGACACCAATATGTAATATATAAAAATGATTTTTTTTAAAAGTTTTAACTGTTGAAGTTTTCTTGAGCCCCGGAAAAACATGAAACACAAATCTTTAATTCATGAAGCCTTCACAAATAATTGAATATTCCATAATCGAACTATACTTGAATTAAGTTCATATTTTGTTAACCGAAAAACGTAAAAAAAATTAATGAAATTTATTTATTTTTATATCGAAATATGTCTTTTTTATTTTATAATTAATCAGAGAAAAATTTAAAGCGAAAACATTACTTAAAATAATTTAATTAATGTTTTACTAAATTGACATGTAAAAAAATGTGCAGAGTGTATTTTATTGACGGTGCTGGAATGCAGAGAAATAAGAGTCAAAACATTGGTTTTCATATGGACGGAGTCCATTTTTAACATTTAGACTCCCTCACCACTCCAAATGGTCTAAAATTGTCAAATTAAACTATCGTTTCGAACTGACATAGTTTCGGTTACAAAAAAGAAAGATCAATTTCGATTTCAATTTAGCACAAAACTGAATTTCTTGACCTCAAAATTGAATCTTTGGACAATTTCAGATTCACCTTCTCGAGATCATTCCACAGTTCCACCACTTCCACCCCTCATCATAACTCTATATTCAATCATTCCTTGCCTACACATTTGACAATAATAAGTGGCCTCCCTATCCTCAGGTTTTACCCTAATCTCCTAACACATTATCCTCCCACCTATATTGATAGGAATGGAGTAGATAGAGAGGAGAGGAAAAGAATACCGACCAAACGAGAACTCGGTAAAAAAGAAGAGTTTTTTTTTTCGAATTAATGTTAATTAATTAAATAATTACGAAAATAATGTTGGAAAAAAAGTATTTACTAATATACTGTTGGGATTAACCACGGTCAGGGGTAAGTCGCCCAACCGTTGGGCGACTTATAAGTCGCCCAACGGTTGGGTGATTTACCCCTGAAATATGGTTGAAGGCGAGGAGCTACTGCCAGCCACGCACGATCGTGCGTACCCTGGGACGCACGATCGTGCCTAGGTCCGAAAACAGCATTTCAACAAATTTTTCGCCCCAGTTCAACTCGGACTCATCTGTTTGCTATAAATAAGGTTTCTCTTCTCCTGTTTAAGTATTACGAGCCAGATACAACACATTATAAAACATACAACACACGTCTTCTCAATCACATACATAACACCTCCTCTCATCAACATAAAAAACACCTTGAAAATACCCTTTACAAATCAAATACAAAACCTTCCATTCATAACCGGTATTAACACAGTACAATCATCCAATATTCATAACAAGTAATCATCTAATATTCATACTCGAACACATCAAGACAACATACAAGACTTTACAAGAGAAAATACGTCAAATGTTGTAAATTGTTCCTACATAAGACAAACTACAAGTTCCCATCGTCAGCTTCGTCATGGAGATGTTGCTGCTCATGTCTACGCCTACGCCGTTGTCGTGGTTGAAGAACCACTCTCTCATGCTGCGTCTGGGATGATGAAGCCGCCGCTGCACTAGACGTGGATGGCATCTCCTGAGATGGGGGCATGTGTATAAGATGGCCGTAGTCGACTCGCCCCAACACATCTGAACACAAGGACGCAATGCCTGTCAGAGCCTGTCCATACATGTCCACATCAGGACTATCAGTCACTGTGGCGGTAGCCCGCTGATATATGCGCTGCAAAGCTCGTGTCTGAAATATGAAACACAATTACATTTACATTGAAATACATACAAATATTACATAAATAAAATGACTTACTTTACTAATTACTAATATACTCACCGTAAGATGCAAAGCCAATGAGCTAGGCTGATAATGATGAGTAGGGAGTCTGAACGAAGGAGACACAAACAAACGCGTGATGCTGTAATACCATCCCATGTAGTCTCCTGAAACAAAAGGCACATATGTCGATGTCCCAGCCACAACTAGCTCAACTCTCCTTCCCACATAGTCACATATCGGACATGTCTGAGTGCCCAATCCTCTGTATGCTTCCCATGCCTATCCAGCCTATGCAGCTCTGTCCTGACATTGTAGGCCTCGCACAAGAGTGAGGATGTTTGGCTTGGCATGGATGTTCAGGTGGATAGGTGCCGCGAGCACCTGCGGGGTTTGTCTCATTTGCACGTCGACGACAGAGTACTAGCCTATGTTGGTGCTGCAGGTTTTTATACTCTTCACAGATTAGTGGCTACTGTGCCTTTAGATAGAGCGCTTCTCACTGCTCTACTTGAGCGTTGGAGGCAAGAGACACACTCATTTCACCTCCCTGTTGGTGAGGTGACAGTGACATTGGGAGATGTTGCTGTACTTACCGGGTTAGAGGTTCATGGGAGAGCTGTTACAGGCACTGCTTGTCGACAGTGGGTGGATGAGTGTGAGCGGTTGTTAGGTATCCGCCCCGTTCTTAGGACTGACCTTCGGGGGTCATATCTGAGGATGCCTTGGTTGAGGGAGCACTTCCAGGTGCTTCCTCCCGACGCTGATGAGGTGATGATCCAGCAGCATGCTCGGGCTTATATATTGATGATGTGGGAGCCTCCATTTTTGCTGACAAGAGCGGAAATGAGGTTCAGGTGCTGCACTTGCCTTTGCTAGAGAGGTTTGATGTAGCAGCACAGTTCAGCTGGGGTAGTGCCACCCTGGCTTACCTGTACAGACAGCTTTGTCGCGGCTGCCAGAGAGGGAGCACAGAGCTTGGGGGATTTTTGCTACTCCTCCAGATTTGGTCATGGGAGTATATCCACATTGGGCGTCCCATTATAGTCGGATATCATGGCATTGATGGACATCCACTGCCTGATGAGCCTCCACATCTTCTAGGACCTCATCATGTACGGGGCGAGGACCCTCTAGGCCGTCAGTATGTTTTCAATCGTTTGTATTTATGAGAGTGTATGTTGTGTGTAAATACATTAATAATATCCATATTAATGATACTGTTACATGAATGGTTAGATAGCTATATGCTGGTCTATCTCGAATGTCATCCGCTACTGGGCTCGGTGTGTATAGGGATGCATTTGATCGGATGTCTGAGGACCAGGTATGGTGTGGGTAGTATAACATTAACTATATTATGTATAGAAAATCTCCTAATTTTGTATCTTTATGAAACAGATTACATGGATGCCGTTTACACCTGAGATGTTAGCAGAGTTCCCCCCAGCTGGACGAGAGCATACTCACATATGGCGAGCACGTGTGCCATTGATATGTTTTGACATTGTTGAGCTTCATTTGCCTGATAGAGTCTTGCGACAGTTTGGGTTTGAGCAGGTCGTTCCACGGCCTATCGACACTTATGTTGAGCTGCATAGGCTGGATAGGCGTGGGAAGCATACAGAGGATTGGGCACTCGGACATGTCCGATATGTGACTATGTGGGAAAGGAGAGCTGAGCTAGTTGTGGCTGGGACACCGACATATGTGCCTTCTGTTTCAGGAGACTACATGGGATGGTATTACAGCATCACACGTTTGTTTGTGTCTCCTTCGTTCAGACTCCCTACTCATCATTATCA